TTCTGAGGTTTATTTACCAAACTATGTATGTTAAATAATAATAACTTTTCCATTTCACACTCATCAAAGACATATCTGCAACTGCAGCTTTATAGTAGTGTAAGATTCAGGATATTATCAAACTTCCTTGAAAAAAGCAAAGGCACTTGGGATTTTAGCACTAAATATGACAGTCCTACCTACAGTAAAGATGCGGGGTCCTCTGTGCTCTTCACAGTTAAGGACACGGAGTTTCAAGCACCCACACTCTCCTCCTGGCTCCCCAGGGCACTGAGGTCCCCCAGGCTTGGAACCACTCATCTCTGCAAATCAGGCAGCCATGTTCAAGGAAAGCAACAAAAAGTCAGTCCCTGAAATAAAACCTGCTATAGAGAATACTGCCTAAGACTCAAAAGGCAAAAGTGAGTCAGAAGCCAACAGCTTTGTAAGGCAGAATGCTGTTAAAGAACATCTAAGATGCAGATACAGAGCATCAGAATCCCAAGATCAACAGAAAAAGTTCTACAGAAACAAGTTTCCATTTTGATCATGCAAAGGAGGAGGACAACTTGACACAAAATATTATGCTTTATAATATTTTTCAGGAAGGTGTCTATTTCACAAATTAAACACGCAAAGACTTGAACTGAAAGCAAGTTAATATTACTGCCATCAATTATGTGATATTTTCATCTCATGTTCCACAGCACTCATAAAACCTGAATAAATGCTACTGCCCAAATCACAGAAAGGGAAAAGCAAACCATTTTTCTCCCTGGCCCCAAATGCCTGCATTTTCATTCAAAGTTCTACAGTCATTAACCTTGCTAATGATATAATCAGAAATGACAAGACTCAAATTCACAAATATAAGTTCAAAAATTATAAGTCAGAATTGAAAAACAAAACCCACCTACTTCAGAATACGTAGGCAGGGACTTCCCTGGTGGCACAGTGGTTAAGAATCCGCCTTCCAATGCAGGGGAAACAGGTTCAATCCCCGGTCCGGGAAGATCCCACATGCCACAGGGCAACTAAGCCCGTGTGCCACAATTAGTGAGCCTGCACTCTAGAGCCCACGAGCCACAACTGAGCCCACATGCCACAACTACTGAAGCCCACGTGCCTAGAGCCCGTGCTCCACAACAAGAGAAGCCACCGCAATGAAAAGCCCGCGCAGCACAATGAAGAGTAGCCCCCCCTTGCCACAACTAGAGAAAGCCTGCATGCAGCAACAAAGACCCAACGCAGCCAAAAATAAATAAATAAAATAAATAAATTTTCAAAAAATACGTAGGCAACAAGGCTCATAATCTCATAGATCAGTATCAGATAGTAACTGAACACCTGCTGCTATTGAGATTGCCAGCAATAAGGAGCCAATCTTCCCTCTCAGGTGTCTACCCTTCTCTGGAAAACAAAACAGCTTTATAAGGCTATTATTTCAGGAGATGGAGCTCACTGCACAACTTAGAAACTTCACTTGTGTTCTTGCCCAGAGGGTATAATTTTTATAATGCCCTCCTGTTTCAACATCACCGGCCAGATTTTCACCTTCACCTAAAATCTCATGTTAGCACTCAGCTGCATATGATGCTACAGAAAGAAAGCCACACCCCACGCTGACCTGTACAGGTATAGGAGTTTGCATTTACTGTAAAGACCATACACCTGCCATTGTGTTATATGTTTAACCAGCATTATTTTGTTTCTTATCATAACCCCTCCAAGTTGGCACTATTGTCATCCTCCCATTTTACGTTAAATAAGGCATATGAGGCATAGAGAGCGTAGGCACAGACTAGAACCCCCTTCCATCCATCACAGTATATACTGTCTCAACATGAATACAGACATGCATATAGATCTATGATACATACGGAGATCTAGGCCATAATGAAAGTTCACTATTTAGAGGCAGGAAGGCAAAAAACAAACAAAAAACTTCTTTCATATTTGGGTAAGTTAGGGAAAGTAGAATCTTCTTTAGTTACCACGCAAAGGCTTCATGAATTTCTGGAGCTTTTAAATGATGGAAGAAAGGGGGCAGGGCAAGGGGGGAGAAACAGATCTTCTGGGCTCCTTTCTCTGTTTCAAAAGAAGGGATGAGTTAAATAGCACTGCCCTAACAACGGAACAGGAGGAATCTAGGAAGAAGTGAAAATTCTGGCAGAGCGCCCTGCAGGTCTCTGAAGGAGATGTGTGTTGAAGATGCAGGAAGCCACTGGCAGGGAATCCTAGGATGGCTAAGCTGGGGCAGGAAGCCAAAGCCTAGGACACTGCATTAATCAGAGATGGTCAAAAAAAGTGAAAACAGATAGTGAAAACAGTAAATAGAACATATGTCCCCTAAAAGTAGAATCAGATGCTCTGGGAAGGCTGGCACCGCCGATGACCAGCTAGAACAGGCTGCGGGAGCCTCCTCCTCGCTGCATACCGTCATCCTTCTGATCGGTCCCATTTCACAATGTCAGCCACTGTCCTGTTCTGCCTTAATCCAGACCAGCTCTGGGAGCCGGTCTGTCACCGCTGATGTTAGGCCCTACTCACCAGAGTCGATGCCTGACGCCTCACACGGCCACTCCGGGTCCACTCCCCCCCCCCCCCCCCCCCGCGGGTCCCCCCCCCCCCCCCCCCCCCCGCTGAACTAGACTCTGGCTGATACAGCACAGCTTTGTGTGTAATCCCTGCCCATGCATTGTTTTCTGTGTTATTCCTGCTTCCTCAAACGGAAACTTCTGAGAATAGAACTGATATCTCTTCCTCTCGAGTTCCACAGTCTCCACTATAAGAACTCAGCAGATACAGGATCACTGATCAAAAGGAAGGGCGTGAGTGAGTACCAGAGAGCAGTGGTGTCACAGATATGCTATTCTGGGGAGTTTCTACCAAGAAGCAATTAAGAAAAGTTTAGTTTATAGGAACCGCTGTAAACTTGTTTTTATGTATCTCACTATAAACAGTAGTTTTGAGTTATCTTGCTATAAGTATTAGTTATCAAATATTAGCGATAAACTCGACTCATCGCATTTTTCTTGAGAGATGTTCTCCCCAAGCTACTTTTAAAGAAAGAGTATTGAAAACTGAGTGAAAAATAAAGGAATTTGCTGTCAGCTAATTCACCCATTGAACAGCTGGTTTGCATCTCTTCCCGTTTTGCTTAGAAAACCTTGTGCAATTCCTTTTCTGCCTCATAAGAATGAAATGTAAATGGTTTATTGTAAAGCTTAATCATCTTCTCTTCCTTATCTCCTGAGAAATGTACCCATAAAAGTCATGCAAAATATATCTTAGGGCAGTGATTCTTGACTAGCAGTGACTTTGTTGTCCCCCAGGGGATATTTGGCAATAGTTGGAGACATTTTTGGTTGTCACAACGGGGGGAGGGGGTGATACTGGCATCTGGTAGGGGGAGACCATGGAGGCCCCCTGTACAACACAATGAATAGGACAGACCCCACAAAAAAGAAAGAAAAAAATGGCAAAGCTTCATAACATAAAATATCCTATTATTTTATAAATGCTATTCTTTTTTATAGACACAAATAAAGCACACAATGGATCTTAAAATTCTACAATTACATATACCATGGGAAGGAAGGAACAGTTTTAAGCAGACATCTGGTATCAATTAGACCTGATGTTATGATGCAGGATTACTAGTTCAAGAATCTCTAATAGCAAATAAGCTCTGTAGCTCAGCAGAAGGAACAAGACAGATCAGATCTGACCCCCTACTATAAACCACTCTTAACCAGATCAGGACACTATTTTATCTTCTGGCACATCACCTGAGGACAATTTAACAGTAATATATCCTACTAATAACCATCAATTTCAATCTTTAAAAAAATTTTTTTGAAACATTCTCTACAAAACCAATGTCCTTTCATATAAATTGTGATCCCGCTCAGACCAGGCCTCTATCTTCATTTTCCTCACAAACTATGTAGAAAATTCCCATCACTAAGCATTCCTGTCTATTGTCTGGGGAAATGAGAGTAAGTGTTACATGAAGATTTATGACTGAAACTCCCCCACAGTGATATAACACAGCCAGAGGCAACAAAGAAAAACTCCTTAGAAATTACTGCAAAAATTATAATCAACGCAAAGAATCTCATCAAAGGAATGTTTTCCTCAAAGTTAAGCAAAGCCACTTTACAATTCCCAAAGCTGCTTAAGGATGAAGTCGCACTGGCATTTTTCACTTCTCTGTCCCTCCCCCTTGCTCCTCATCAAAGCCACACACATACCCCCACGCTCACTCGCAGGAGTCCACTACTGTACCTCACCGAAGTCATCACTGGATACCTTAAATATCACTGGGCGCCCTCTAGGTGAAGAGCGGGTGGGTGGGCGTGGATGATGGGGTGGGCTTGTGGATGTCAGGGGGAGAGCCGGCGCAGACCACACCTGGACCTCCTAACTCAAGGTCCCCTCTTGTGGGATCCCACAGCTCGCAAGGTGGGTGGTCTCCAACCGGCTCCAATTAGGAATCCACTCCAGGAATAATAAGTGGGACGACCCCTGTCCTAGATGAAGACCTGGTCTATGCACACTCAAGGATAAAAAGGATCTTCAAAAATCCTTCCGTAGTTGCGCTCTCTTAGGAAGACAGCTCCAGATGAGATTTTGTTTCCCACGAAGTGCGAAGTGCTGCTCTCCTACATGCCCGCGAAGGGTCTCGGGAGACAGTTTCTGCCCTACAAGGGCTGCTAAACTGGTTCACCTGGTCGCGGCAGTGACTTATGCACCTCCAGGTGTGAACACGCGGGCGCGCAGCCTCAGGTGTACAAACTCGGGGTCCGCTCCCAGGTGTACAGACTCAGGGGGTGCACACACAAGTATGCAGACGCGGGGAGCAGCTCCCAGGTGTGCAAAGCCGGGTGCGCAAGCACTGGTTAACACACTCAGGTGCGCACATAGAGCCGGGCAGGTCAACCCCACCACGCTGCGAACGACAAGTCTCGACAGGGAACCCCCAAACTCCAGTCGGCATCCTGCCTCCACCAACTCACCTCCTCCAAAAATTTGGTCAAATCGTACACCTTGTAATGCAGGATCAACCAGGTGCTCTTGCTGTGGTTGTGCTTCTGGATCTCTTCCAGTGTATAGTACTTCACGGCTTTGTCGGACTCCTCTGCCATTTCGGAACGCGGCGAGCCTCAGTCCCTAGAACGAGCAGCGCAGCCGGGCGGAGTTCAACCGGCGTCTCCGCGAACTTGCCCCGGGACATTCCCCACGGCGCTGCTCAGCGCCTGGGCAGGGAGGCAGGCACTGGGGTGGGGGTGGAGGGGAGGCCGAAGGAAGGCCTCCGACGATTGGCCAAAGTTCGTGTCACTCAAGGGTCCCGCCCTCGGCAGACACTCCACCAACTCCAACGGGCCGCGCCCAGTTCGCGAGTGTTGATTGGCTGCAGAAGGTGCCCTTCACAGTCACAGCTGTAGGAGCACGCGGAGGGCGGGGCTCCCTTTGTGTCTGCGCAGAAGGCGGTGGCGCGGAGATCGGCGCCAGGGCCTGAGCACTCGGGTGTGGGTGTTCCTGGCGGACAAGGCGAGGTGGCCGACGAGGGAGGGTCCGACGGGGCGGGCGTAGAGTCCATCTTGTGCAGGGCAGCGACCCCACATCAAAATCGCCGCGATTTCCCAATCAGGTCAGATCAGGCAGAGCTGGGCGTTAATTTGTAACAAAGTCGTTCCGCTGCGAGTGTCGAGGTGGACTGTTAGTGTGAGAGGAGATGGAAATGAGCCTCGTGGACGGTAAAAGACGCAGTTACCTCATGTAGCCTCGACAAAACAAGTGTGTTGCCCAGAACAGTGCTCTGTAATTTCCCGACCCATCCCCAGAACTGCCCCAGAACTGCCCCATTCTCACAGGATAAACAAACCCAGGGAAATTGTTCTATAAAAGCAAAAACGTCCTAACGTGCGTAGGACATATGTCGCTCTGAAGTTATTCGCTGTTGACCCTGACTAGGCGAGTACTTGTATTAGTGTCTCCTGTCTATTCTCAACAGTATATTGTTTAAGGTAAATCCTAAATAATTGATTGCTCTTGGAATAGAGTCTGGAACAGTATCTCCCCAGCTGGGCACCGATAGGAAGATTTACAAATGTTCTATTTTAAAAAGGCGGGGGAGAGAATTCCACCATATTAAAAAGTCGTCTGATATTTATTAAGGTCTTTTTCGGCAATGGTATTTAATTCCAAAAAGAACTACACAATAGGTTACACGTGTACGTCATCCTCCCAGAAACTAAGCACAGTTCTTCCACACTAGTTGCTGATGAATGTTAGCTTCCTGTCCCCCTGCTTACCTCTTCCATAGGAATGCAAGGCCATGGAAGACATTTTTCCAAACATTCCAAATAGTCTTTAGCCTTTTCATATGATGGAATACATTGATTTTCAAATACTGCACTAGCTTTGCATCTCTGAAATAAACCCCACTTGCTTACGATGTATAATTTTTTTATTTGCTTTTTTAAAAAATTGAAGTATAGTTAATATACAATGTTGTATTCGTTTCTGATGTACAGCAAAGTGATTTAGTTATACATACATATATATGTTTTTTCATATTCTTTTCTGTTATAGTGTATTACAAGATATTGAATATAGTTCCCTGTGTTATACAGTAGGACCTTGTTGTTTATCTATTTTATATATATATAGTTTGTATCTGCTAATCCCAAACTCCTAATTTATCCCACCCCCTTTCCCCTTTGGTAACCATAAATTTGTTTCCTATGTCTGTGAGTCTGCTTCTGTTTTGTGAATATGTTCATTTGTATCATATTTTAGAGTCCATATATAGATGATATCATATGATATTTGTCTTTCTCTGACTTACTTCATTTAGTATGTTAATCTCTAGGTCCATCCATATTGCTGTGTCATAATTTCATTCTATTTTACAGCTGAGTAGTATTCCATTGTACATATGTGTGAGTATATATATATACACACATATACCACATCTTCTTTGTTCATTCATCTGTCAATGGACATTTAGGTTGATTCCATGTCTTGGCTATTGTAAATAGTGCTGCTATGAATATTGATTGGGGTGTATGTCTCTTTTTGAATTAGAGTTTTCTCTGGATATATGCCCAGCAGGACTACAAGATCATATGGTAACTCTAGTTTTTTTAAGGAACCTCCATACTGTTCTCCATAGTGGCTGCATCAATTTACATTCCCATGGTGTAGGAGGGTTCCATTTTCTCCACATCCTCTCCAGCATTTATTATTTGTAGACTTATTTGTATTGTTTCTGACCTGTGTGAGGTGATAGGTCATTGTAGTTTTGATTTGCATTTCTCTAATAATTAGAAATGTTAAGCATCTTTTCATGTGCTTATTATCCATCTCTATGTTGCAGAAATATCTATTTAGGTCTTCTGCCCATTTTTTGATTGGGTTGTTTGCTTTTTTGTTACTGAGTTGTATGAGCTGTTTGTATACTTTGGAAATTAATCCCTTGCTGGTCACACTGTTTGCAAATATTTTCTCCCATTCTGTGGGTTGTCTTTTCATTTTATTTATGGTTTCCTTTGCTATGCAAAAGTTTATAAGTTTGATTAGGTCCCATTTGTTTATTTTTGCTTTTATTTCTGTTGCCTTGGGAGACTAACCTAAGAAAACATTGCTACAATTTATATCAGAGAATGTTTTGCCTATGTTCCCTTCTAGGAGGTTTATGATGTCATGGTTTATATTCAAGTCTTTAAGCCATTTTGAGTTCAATTTTGTGTATGGTGTGAGGGAATATTCTAACTGCATTGCTTTACATGCGGCTGTCCAGCTTTCCCAACACCACCTGCTGAAAAGATATGTAATTCTTTTTATGTATTGCTGAATTATATTTTATTAAGAGATTTTCTATCCATATATGTGAGAGATATTGGTGTGTAATTTTCATTTTATGCATTGTATTTGTCTGGCTTGGCTATCAGAGTAATACTGGCCTCACAGAATGAGTTGTGAAGTATTCCCTTTTCCTCTATTTTTCTGGAAAAGAACGTGTAGAATTGGTGTTACTCTTCTTTAAAAACTTGATAGAATTCTCCAGTGAAATCATATGGGCTGGCAGATGTATTTTTCAGGAAGTTTTAAACTATGAGTTTAATTTCCATAACAGTTATAAGACTATTCAGGTCTGTTTAATACTGGGTGAATTGTGGTAGTCTGTACTTTTCGAGGAATTGGTCCACTTCATCTTAATTGTCAAATCTATGTATAGAGTTGTTCATAGTTGTCCCTTATTATCTTTTGATGTTTGCAACGTCTGCAGTGATATCCTCTGTTTAATTCCTGGAAGTAGTAATTTGACCACTCTTCTTGTTGTTATTGTTGTCAACCTTGCTAGAGGTTTGTCAGTTTTATTGATTTTTTTCAAAGAGCTAGCTTTCTGTCTCTGATTTTCTCTATTGTTTTTCCTTTTTTTTTTTTTTTTTTTTAAATATCACTGATTTCTGCTCTTTATTGAGTCCTTTCTGCTTGCTTTGGGTTTCTTTCTTTTTTTTTTCTCCCTAGTCTCTTGGGGTGAGAGTTTAGATTATTGAATTGAGACTTCTCCTCTTTCCAAATGCATGCATTTAGTGTTATAACTTGCTTAAATGCTTTAAAAATAGTAAACCAGGCACTTCCCTGGTGGTCCAGTGGTAAAGAATCCGCCTTCCAATGCAGGGGATGCAGGTTCAATCCCTGGTCGGGGAACTAAGATCCCACATGCCACGGGGCAACTAAGCCCTTGCGCCACAACTAGAGAGAGAAAAACCCACATGCCACAACTAGAGAGAAGCCCTAGTGCCACAACAAAAGATCCTGCATGCCGCAATGAAGATCCCGCATGCTGCAACTAAGGGCCAATGCAGCCAAATAAATAAATAGGTCTGCTGAACCTCCCCGTGAGTCTGGCAGAGCAATGAGTCTCTAGAGTGTGTGGCTACCTCTATAATCCAGTGTCAAGACTGATTCAGGTTTCAGTCCCAGTTCCAAATAACTCCATAAGTGGTTAAAACAAAACTTTGGTGCCAGTGACCTGATCCTATCCCTGGATTAGTAACTTATCAAATGCATGACTATGACCTAATCCGTTAACTCATCTAAGCCACTGCTTATAAAATGCTTAGCACAGCGTCTGGCACATAGAGAGCAATCAATAGATTTTAGCAAGTGCTATTATCAATCAAGACTTCCTTATTCTAAAACATAGGTATAAGGAAACATCCTACGTGGAAGGTGCTCCAAGGTGAAGTAAATTTAGGCAAATTTAGAAACAAACAAACCTGAGAAATTAAAGGAACATAAGAATTTATAAACTCTTCCTGACCTCCCCTCCAGCAAAGAAATTTTAATAAACATTTAGAAAACCAACTCTACTCGTAAAGTAGAGTTACATTTTTTATTCCTTTTCTAATTCTTTCTGCCACTAATGCACAAGAAACACTTCATCAGCTCTTTCCTTCCCGTTGACAAATCATTATATTTGCCATAACCATAGAGAGCAGGTTCCCTCTTAACAAGTGGGCACTCTTAAAAGATGGACTCCAAATTATCTACATGGATAACTTGTATTAAATCCATGTCTTTTAAATATGTTAGCATAGGTTAACTTTTCCCTTCTAAAAATATCTGTATCTCTAGTATGTATACCCTATTTAGTTGATTTCCAAACAATTCCCCATCTATTAGCAATAAGATCCAAAATTTTCTAAGTTTTTAAAATTTTCATTCATCTTAAATAAAGCATTTATGTCTTGAAGTTTTTTTAATCCATGCATATTTATAACACACCAGAATGTCAGTTAATAATCTCTAATCAGTTGAATAGCAAAGGCAGAAATGAGCAGAAAATAATAGATACCTGATCACAAAGCCAATACAAAGGTCTTAAGTTCATTGCTGAGGTAGGGCAACTTTCCTCAGTAACTTCAGACAAAGACAAGTTAATTATATGTAGGACATCTTATTGTAAATAGGTTCTTAGGCACATTTTCCTTGTATGTCCATCTTTAAGTAGGAGCAGGTAAATAAAAATATTAGATGTTTGATTGTACATGGTTGCAATATTAAACTTCTTTTTAAAAATCTTTTTGTCTCCAGCACAAGTAAACAGAACAAGAGTAAAATGGTATAGATAAGGAAAGTTCCA